TGGTCCTGAGAACCTACTGGTGGCCCCAGGAACCTGCTGGTGACCTTGGGAAAATATTGATGGCCCTGAAGACCTGTTGGTGGTCCTGAGAACCTATTGGTGGCCCCAGGGACCTGGCGGTGACCTCAGGAACACGTTGGTAGCCCCGGGGACCTGATGGTGGCCCCCATCCAAGTGCATCCCTCAGAGGGGAGCGTCTCCGTGCCAGTGGCGTGCTCACTCACTTGGACAGGCTGAGCTTCCCTGCGGCCAAGTGGCTCTGCACCGTGTGCCAGCGGCCTCGTGCCGCCTTTCCCGCTCCGGGCTCGCTGTGGGCGGACACGCTGCTCCTCATCCCGTCCTCGCCGAGCCGCTGCTTGTCCCCAGGCCGGTCCCCGGATAAGCCGGAGGCGGCCGACGCCGTCAGCTTGGCCCCTGATAACAGAGAGCCACTGGGCCGGGCCAGCGGCCGGACACCCCCCAGGACACATACGGAGCCGGACGGACACACGGACGGACGTGGGAGAGGAATGAGGGGAGAGGGCAACAGAGCCAGACGGACAAGAGACGGACAGACAGACAGAGAGAGAGAGAGAGACATCAGCACTGCCAAAAAAAAAAAAAGGGGGCCTGGCCAGGGGGCGTGTGGGGGGCCTCTGAAAACCGTCCAAAAGAAAGTGGGGAGATGGGAAAGGGGTCGGGAATTGGGGTCCCGCTCGCCGGCAGCCCGACCCCGCACCGAGGGGGTGCCCCCAACGCGCAACCCCGTCCTGGGGGGACATCCCAGGAAACCCCGGGAAAGCGGGAAGGAGGGGTTGCTCGTCTCCATGGGGAGGCCCATGGGGTGGCGTGCGGGGAGCCTGGGAGCAGGAGGAGGAGGAAGAGGAGCAGGAGGAGGAAGAGGAGCAGGAGGAGGAGGAGGAGGAGGAGGAGGAAGGTGAGAGGGTACTGCCCAAATACTCACTACACGGAGCAAACCCGGCAAGGAGAGACTCACTTGAGGGAAAGGCGCGGATCACCGTACGGAGCGTAAGGAGAAATGTTTAGGATAAACTCCTTGGGAGGGTAGGAGCTCCATTTCTGCTGCACTGTGTTGTCATTGTTATTCCAAAAGTCTCTGTCTAGATCGCTACAGCGGCCGGATTCCAGGGGAGAAAAGAAAAGGGAAATACAAGAGAGAGAAGCTGAATTCCTGCGGGAAAGGGGAAGGGAAAGCAGCGCTCTGGCCCCGAGCGCCAGGATCCTGCGGAGAGAGACGGGGAGCGCGGCTGCCCATCCCTGGGACACCGACACACACACACACACACACACACGGACGGGGACAGACGGATGGATGGAGCAGGGAAGAGCTGTGGAGAGACAGGAGCGGGCAGCTCCACCGGCTGGGAAGGAGAGAAGGATGGTGGGAATTAAGGAGCGAGCGTGGTGCCGGCACGGCATTCCCGTGTGTGTCCATGTTGCCTCCTCAACAGGTCCTGGAAGTGCACCCTGCATGGTTAACCACGTGTTGGAGACCCTTCCGGATCTCTTCCTGCTGCCAGCATGGAGCCTGGAATTCCTGGCTCCGGGAAGCCACCAGATCTGTGTGCCAGGGACTGGGGGCCCAGAGGGTTCCTGCTGGGAGACTGGAAAAGCTGCCGCTGCCCGGCTCTCCCAGCCCTCGCCAGGGCCCACCTGCAGCTCTGGGATGATCCCGGCTGTGCCGGAGCTGGGGAGGGAAAGCCACGTGTGCCGGGATTCAGGAGGGGATGTGCTTCCCACTCCACTTCCAGCGCATCCCAGCTGGGCTGGGAGCAGCATCCAGGTGCCCGAGGTACCCCGGACACCTGCACCCCAACAACACCGTGGGAGGAGGTTTTCCATAGCCTTATTCCAGGCAGGAGCTCTTTCCCTGCTACTGGTCCGGCTCCCTCCTCCCTGGAGCCCCGTGGGGGGTTTCCAGAGGCAGTACTGGATCTGGGATATCCAGGAGAGCCCCTCCAACTTCCAACCCCACACTTCATTCCCTACCCAGAGCCATGAGACACTTCAGCTCTGCTCTCCTTCCTGCACGGAATGCCCCCGGGATGCAGAGCCATCTGCACACCCAGACCTGGAGCATCCCTGGGCTGAGGCTCCTGTGGCTCCATGCTCTGGCTCCGTGGGATACACAAGGATGCGGGAAAGACCCACCAGCTCTCCCAGTGTCCTGGAGCCCCTTTCCCACTGGGAGTGGGGAACCAGGGAATGGCCACCTCTGTCCTTCCTCTCCCCCCCAGTCCTGGCACCTACTTGATGGTTTTCTTTTCGCTGCGGCCTCGGCTGGAATCTGGAGTTCCCACGGTCTCCAGGGAAGTCTTGTAACGCTTTCCCTATGGAAAAGGCAGGAGGGAGGAATGAGGAAGTGGCAGGGGACCCCTGGAGTGTCCCAGCAAAGGATGGGAGCTGCCTCCATCTGCTGAGTTCATCCCAGATTTCACCTTTTTCCCTTATTCCCTCGCAGTCTCCAGGTCCCATCCCACCCATCCAAGCAGCAAAATTCCCAGTTACTCCGTCCCGTGATCCCTGGGGGCTCGTGCCCCGTGTCACCCCAAGGACAGGATGGTCACCGCCTCCAGTGTCCCATTCCAAGGCCTCACCGGGAAGCAGTGGATAATTTTAGGCTTAATTGAAGCTGGATTAATTGAGTTCACCTTTCCCAGTGCCCGGGAAGCACTGCCGTGGGATAATGAAGCCGGAGCTGGCTCCTAACTGGGGCTGGTAATCAGGACACTCTGGCGGGTTCCGCGCGCTCTGAGCCCGGAGCGCAATTAGCGCCAATTAGACAACAATTAGGAGCCGAGGAGGCTCCAGGTGGGAAGGGACCAGCTCCCGCAGCAGGATGGGCTGGAGAACCGGCCCTTCCACCACGCTGGGCCTGGAGCTGGGAGCATCCCCCCTGCATCCAGCCTGCCCAGAGAATGGGAATATTTCTCCCTTCTCCTCCTTCCCAGCCTCTGCAGCTCCACACGGAGCTAAATCCTTGGAATGCTGAGACACCTGTGCTCTTGGCACAGTGTCCTTGGGCTGATCCAGCTGGGAGCTGCCAGGGTGTTGGAACTCCTTGGATGCCCGTGGGCTAATCCTCCTGGGAGCTGCAGGAATGTTGGATGTCCTTGGATGTCCATGGGCTAATCCTGCTGGGAGCTGCAGGGGAACACCTGGATCTCTAGCTGTCCACAGGCTGATCCTGCTGGGATATTGGATGCCCATGGGCTGATCCTGCTGGGCTCTGTGGGGATGTTGGAACGTGGATGCCTTTGGACTAATCCTGCCAGGAGCTGCAGGGGAACACCTGGATTTCCTTGGATGCCCATGGGCTAATCCAGCTGGGATCTGCAGGGATGTTGGATGTCCTTGGATGCCCATGGGCTAATCCTGCTGGGCTCTGTAGGGATGTTGGATGCCCTTGGATGCCCGTGGGCTAATCCTACTGGGAGCTGCAGGGCAACACCTGGATCTTCTTGGATGCCCGTGGGCTAATCCTGCCAGGAGCTGCAGGGATGTCAGACCTCTCTGGATGTCCACAGGCCATCCTGGAGGGAGTCGTCCCTGAGCCCTGGGCTCATCCCTGTCCCTGCTCAGGGCTCGTGAGGACACGGCCCTCCTGGCAGTGGCCGCGTGGGCACATCCCAGAGCCGGGCCCGCCGGGCTTGGCTGTCATTCCCACGTAGCCGTTCCAGCTCCGGGTGCTGCCGAGGGCCGGTTGGGATTCGCCTTCCCGGCCAATTTACACTTGTTTGTTCCCCTGCCAGTTCGTCCTCCTCCTTTCCAGTGCTTATCCCTGCCTCTCCACACCTCCTGGAGGGCACCTGGAAGCCTCTTCCCACCCAGCACCCCCACGCTGCCTTACCCCCGGCCGGATCCCCTCTCCCATTCCCGGGGGGAATGCTGCCTTCCCACGGCTCAGGGCGGGCATCTCCCACACGGGAAGCGCCGCTGCCGTCGGAGCACTTGACCCAGATTCGATTCCGACGGCGAAGGAAACGTGGCCGAGCACGTCCTGCTCCCCGGAGAGCGGGAGGAGGAGGAGGAGGAAGGGAGGGAGCGCTGCCCCGATCCACAGTGGGAATGCAGAGGGGAGTGGGCGGCAGGGACGGCTCGTGGTGCCAGGGACGGGCTGGCCGCCTTCCCACGGGGCTTTTCCAGGCGGGAGCGTGCCCAGCAGGACAGGGGCCAGCTCGTTCCGGCTCGTCACCAACATATATCCAGATATTTGGAAACTTCCCTTCGCACCACGTGAACCTTTCATTATCCCAGCCAGAAAAACCAGCCCGAAGGAAAGGTGCAGCCAGGGAATCCCCGGCAGCGGGAATTGCCCCCCGGCCGGGGAAGGGGGCAGGGAATGGTGGCACTCACCATCTTGCGCTGGCACCACTGGCAGATCCCGCAGAGGACGATGGTGGCACTAAGGCTGACGGTGATGATGGCTGAGACCAGCAGCACGTCCCGGGAGGGGCTCCCTGCGGGACACAACAGGGGGGTCACAGGGGATTCCCGGGGTATTCCTGCTGGGAGTGGGGGCGCACCACCCACAGGGAGCATCCGGGAGAGCCGGGAGAGGAGAGGCAGGGAAAACACAGCTCCTTCCCCTTCCCGATTTCCAGGCTTCCCCTTGTCCAGCCCTTCTCCTTTCCTCCCTCTTTGCCTTCCTAATGCTCGTCCTTTCCTCATCCTTTCACCTTCTCCAGCCCCCTCCCCTTTTCCTTCCCCTTCCTTCCTCTTCCTCTTCCCTCCCTTCCAGACAAGCAACCCCAGTTTTGTCCCTGGATCCATGCCCTGCATCCACCCCCCGGTCAGGATTCCCTCTTTGGCTCAACCGGTCCCACACGGATTCGCCCCAAGCAGCAGCATCTCCCATGGGGACAACCCTGGGGACCCCACAAACGGATGGAGACCACTCCACTGCATCCAGCACATCATATCCCTGCTCCCAGCCTGTGGAATGGCCCTAGAACTGTGGGAGCATGATCACGGATCTAAGGTGGCTTGGGGGGGGTCCAGCGGGACCCCAGGACTGGCTCAGCCTTAATTCCAGGTAGGACCTCAGCACAACATCCCTGTGGACACCTCGCACCCCGCTGGGATGGGGGCCGTCCATGGAGTCGGGAAGCGGCGGCGGGAGCTGTGCTGCGGTATAAATATTAAACAATAATTGTTAATAATTAATTCGCCTGCAGACCTTTGTTATTGTAGCAGATTTTGCCGGCGGCTCCGGGGCCTGGGTGAGTCAGAGGGGACCGGGAGAATGGATTGGGATTCTGGAATCCACCCCCCGCCCCTGCACTTGGAAAAGCACCCACAGCCCCCCCACCTCGGGATGAAAAGGAGGAAAAGGGATGGTGACCACAAAGAGGAGTTTTATAGAAATCCATTCAGGATCAGCTGAGGGTGGTGGGATGAGGGTGGGATAAGGGTGGGATCCTGGGGGGGATTTAGGGAACAGGGCTGGATGTCCCACCAGCACTCCCTCCATCCAAAGGCAGCTCCTCCATTGCTCCCGGATCACGAGGAGCCTGTGTATAAAACTCACATAGCAACTGTTGCCTAGGAGGGAATTTGGGACCAGCCCTTAATTTCAAACATTTATAAACCCCGGCTGGATAAGCTGCTGGGGGAATGGAAAGAGCTGGATCTGGCGGGAAGGGCTTGGGACCCCCTCCTCGGGATCCCGACCAGTTCAAGTGGGACATGGGCTTACTGGGATTGGGGGTGACCCCCCCAAATGCTACCTCAGCCCCCTCAGCACTTTCTGATCCGACTTGGGAACACGGTGACCCCTCTGGCTTATCCCGGAGCTTCCACAAGCCCTTCGCTCCCTGCGGGGTCATCCCCAAATTAATCTGCAGGGAGGGAATCAAAGGAGAAGGAGAGGAAAAGAAGCCACCACGGAGAGGGATATTAGTGAGTTCCAGGGGCCAAGTTCCTAGAGCCGAGGTGCCACCACACGCCCAAGCCTGGCATCACCCGGTGATCCCGACGGATATACCAGCGGGAATCTGCCTGGGGGTCTTCCCCGGGCACGGTGGGTGTTCCAGCCCTTCCCACTGGGAACACTCATCCCTCAGCCGTATCCCGAGGGCGGGGGTAGCGATTCTGGGGGTGTCCCTGTGCACGAGGGGGTTCCAGCCCTTCCCGGTGGAAACATGGATCCCTCAGCTCTGTCCCCAGGCTGGGGGAGGGATTCCGGTGCCGTCCCTGTGTCCAGGGCGGGTTCCAGCCCTTCCCGGTGGGAATACACATCCATCAGCCCTGTCTCCAGGCCGGGGGGGCCATTCCAGCCCCCCGACCGCTGCCGCCCTCAGCAGGAGTTCGATGGCTCGTTTTCCAGGCAATTAGCACTTGGTTAATTAAAGAACCGGAGCCGCTCGGAGCTCCCGGAGCGTCCCCAGCCCTGGGGCGCGGTGTGGGGTATCCGCGCCGCTTGGAATGCTTGGAACGGGAATGC